AGACCGCGAATAGCCAAAGGAATATTGAAAAAGAAAGCCAAAGTTGGTGGCATCACAATTCCGGACTTCAAGCTCTACTACAAAGCTGTCATCATCAAGAGAGCATGGTACTGGCACAAAAACAGACACATAGATCAATGGAACAGAATAGAGAGCCCAGAAATAGACCCTCAACTCTATGGTCAACTAATCTTCGACAAAGCAGGAAAGAATGTCCAATGGAAAAAAGACAGCCTCTTCAATAAATGGTGTTGGGAAAATTGGATAGCCACATGCAGAAAAGTGAAATTGGATCATTTCCTTATACCACACACGAAAATAGACTCAAAATGGATGAAGGACCTCAATGTGAGAAAGGAATCCATCAAAATCCTTGAGAACACAGGCAGCAACTTCTTCGACCTCAGCTGCAGCAACATCTTCCTAGGAATATCGCCAAAGGCAAGGGAAGCAAGGGCAAAAATGAACTATTGGGATTTTATCAAGATCAAAAGCTTTTGCACAGCAAAGGAAACAGTTAACAAAACCAAAAGACAACTGACAGAATGGGAGAAGATATTTGCAAACGACATATCAGATAAAGGGCTAGTGTCCAAAATCTATAAAGAACTTAGCAAACTCAACACCCAAAGAACAAATAATCCAATCAAGAAATGGGCAGAAGACATGAACAGACATTTCTGCAAAGAAGACATCCAGATGGCCAACAGACACATGAAAAAGTGCTCCATATCACTCGGCATCAGGGAAATACAAATCAAAACCACAATGAGATACCACCTCACACCAGTCAGAATGGCTAAAATTAACAAGTCAGGAAATGACAGATGCTGGCGAGGATGCGGAGAAAGGGGAACCCTCCTACACTGTTGGTGGGAATGCAAGCTGGTGCAACCACTCTGGAAAACAGCATGGAGGTTCCTCAAAATGTTGAAAATAGAAGTACCCTATGACCCAGCAATTGCACTGCTGGGTATTTACCCTAAAGATACAAACGTAGTGATCCGAAGGGGCACGTGCACCCGAATGTTTATAGCAGCAATGTCTACAATAGCCAAACTATGGAAAGAACCTAGATGTCCATCAACAGACGAATGGATAAAGAAGATGTGGTATATATACACAATGGAATACTATGCAGCCATCAAAAGAAATGAAATCTTGCCATTTGCGACGACGTGGATGGAACTAGAGGGTATCATGCTTAGCGAAATAAGTCAATCGGGGAAAGACAACTATCATATGATCTCCCTGATATGAGGGAGAGGAGATGCAACATGGGGGTTAAGGGGGTAGGAGAAGAGTAAATGAAGCAAGATGGGATTGGGAGGGAGATAAACCATAAGTGACTCTCAATCTCACAAAACAAAGTGAGGGTTGCTGGGGGGAGGGGGGTTAGGGGGGTGGGGTTATTATGAACATTGGGGAGGGTATGTGCTATGGTGAGTGCTGTGAAGTGTGTAAACCTGGCGATTCACAGACCTGTACCCCTGGGGAAAAAAAGTATATTATATGTTTATAAAAAATAAAATAAAAAAAAAAACAAACAAACAAAAAACAAACAAAACATTTTTGAATAATATAGAATTTTCGTTAGTGCAAAAAAAATAATAAAAAAGCCTTTTTCTGTAAGGACTAGTACGGTATTCCTTTAGGCTGTTTATGAAAGTCATCTGGGGGACCATTTCAAACTTACTTTTTTGGTTTGCAGATACTTCCCAGATAACCAATCAAGACACTGTCTGATTCTAAAGACTACTAAGTTTGAAAAAGAAGTCACTAAACACTACACCAGGGCTATGAAGACTTTATTGTTTTACTGCCTACTAAGAAATGAAAAATACATTATTCTTTAAAATTCCAGTATGTTTAGTTTCTTGTAGTAAATATACATTTATCATTCTCTTTTGTGGTGCTCTGTAGTATTGTTTTCCTTTATTAGTTATGTTTTCTAGTTGTTCTGTAGACATTTGATAGGTCTCCTTAGGTAGACACTAAAGAGCAGAAGCTATGTGGGATCAAGCCCCACATCGGGCTCCCTGCTCTGTGGGAAGGCTGTCCCACTCCCCCGCTTGTGTTCCCTCTCTCGCTGTCTCTCTCTCTCTGTCAAATAAATAAATAAAATCTTAAAAAAAAGTAGTATCTAGTATTGAATACACAATAGGGCTTAATGCATTTTATGCATCCTCCAAAAGAAAATGGCTATTAAAAAGGCAAACTCCTTCAAAGAATAATGGCTCTATATTAGTAAATACTAACACTCTAAGGCATTACTGTATTACAGAAAATTTTAAAGTGGAAAAAGAGGAGCTTTAAAAAACATTTTTAAAGTGGACCACTACATAATTAAGTTATAAGTCCAGTAAAATCCAAATCTGCATTCTGTGTGTTTTGGTGGGGGGCGGTTTATATGGTAGGTTGTATCTTATTCTGGATATTAAACTTTAATTTAGCATATGGGACAAAATTTGAATATTATCCTTGATAATTACACCTGATAGATTATCCTTGATAATCACTTACATTGCCTATAAAGAACAGTACACGTGGTTTTGTACATGAAGGTCCATAAAGCATTATTTACTATAAGGTCTGTCAACCACAGAACTAGATAGATTAGAGGAAATAAGAAATGCAAGAGAATGGAGCCACGGCAATGTATTAATATTTTAAAGAATCTTCTCAAAATATAATACTACCTGATAGAAAGAAAGGGCTAGAGAAAAGCAAATAAGGCTTATCTTTCTATTTAATGTGTTAAATAAGGGTAAATATTTAGCTTCTGCATTGGTGATATCGATGGGAAGAAAAAGGAACCAACATTTATTTCGCACCTGTTTTTTGGTAGGTACTTTTATAAAAAGGTATCCTCCTATCATTTTATATTATTTCAGTAAGGCTAAATCGTATTAATTCTATTCAAAACTGAAGAAACTGAAGGGCAGAAGAGCTAAAAATAACTTGACAAGGCTCATACAATGCGGTACTTCAGTGACAGAACCAGGAGAAGGATCTGTTTGGTTCAGCTGGTATTTGTTGAGTAGTTACTAAGTGCCATGTTTATATTAAGAATGTATGTATTGGGACAGCCGGGTGGTTTAGTCATTAAGCGTCTGCCTTCAGCTCAGGTCATGGTCCTGGGATCGAGCCCCACATCAGGCTCTCTGCTTGGCAGGGGGCCCGCTTTCCCTCTCCCACTCCCCCTGCTTGTGTTCCTATCTCTCTCTCTGTCAAATAAATAAATAAAATCTTTCAAAGAATGCATGTATTATATATGTACTAATCCTCACAACAATTCTAGGCAATAGAAACTGATATTATCTCTATTTTACAAATAATGACATTGAGGTCACATAGCTAGGAAATGGTAAAACCAGTATTCATACTCATACTCACCTATTATTAGAGGATATACTCTTAATCTTAATCAGCAAATTATCCTTGTAAAATTTTCTATAGCTTCCAGTTCAACAGGATAAACCTTTATAACCATAAATCTTAAGTCCTAATTATCTGTTTCAACAGGACTGGCTTGGATGATATTAACTGATAGTCTCAAAAACCTTTGTGTTGGGCGCCTGGGTAGCTCAGTGGGTTGAGCCGCTGCCTTCGGCTCAGGTCATGATCTCAGGGTCCTGGGATCGAGTCCCGCATCAGGCTCTCTGCTCAACGGGGAGCCTGCTTCCCTTCCTCTCTCTCTGCCTGCCTCTCTGCCTACTTGTGATCTCTGTCTGTCAAATAAATAAATAAAATCTTAAAAAAAAAAAAAAAAAAACCTTTGTGTTCAGTTTTAAAGTAAGTTTCATATTCACATTTCAAGACTATGAATGGAACGGTATGGGGGTCCAATAAAAGTTCAAGAAAAATAACAGTGCCATCCTGAATAATATTAAAGCAAATAATAATCAGCAATATAGCCAACTTCCTAATTTGGTTTCCCTTACCTAAAACCTATTCCCAGTGAGCTAATTCATCTCTTATTTAATAAAGCACCAAGCTGAAAGAGCTGTTTCCGTTGCTTTCCACCCCTCTGGATTTCTTGCTAAGTCAAAAGAAATAATTAAATGTTTTGGTCTTAAAAATATGCTGATCTACAAGAGATTTAAAAGACTATCTCAACATAGGGCTTTATGCCCTATTTTGCTTGTTTAATTAAATTATCAGAAGATCTGCTGTAGATGACATACTGTAACCAACCCCCACAAAAATTTAAGTGAGTTCTAAAGGATCATAAGGTAAACAAATTAATATTAGCAACTGGCAAATCTATAGCAGGGACATCACTTAACACTAAAAGTTAAGAAAATATCATAGAGCAATCACACAACATTAACTTTCTCCTACACTGTCCAAAGTCACACAATAAACAGATTACTAAGGTAAAACAATTATAATAAAATATGCTAGATGTCAAATTATGGAAAAAGAATTGTGAGACAGATCCCGTATTATAACAGAAAAATGATAGATATCAAATTATGAAACTAAATCCAAAAAAAACAAATTCAGTGTCACAATAAGGGATATTTTGATAATTGCTGTGAAATTAGTATTCAGAGTTCCTTTTTAATAAAGACATATCACGGGGCTCCTGGGTGGCTCAGTGAGTTGAGCCTCTGCCTTAGGCTCAGGTCATAGTCTCGGGATCCTGGGATCGAGCCCTGCGTGGGCTCTCTGCTCCGGGAGGAGCCTGTTTTCCACCACCTCTGCCTGCCTCTCTGCCTACTTGTGATCTCTCTGTCAAATAAAATAAAAAATAAAAAACACTTTAAAATTAAATAAATAAATAAATAAAGACATATTACGTCATGCCTGATATTTTTAGTGGGAGTAGGATATATTTTTAGATTTGAGGTTTTAAAATATAAAAATTTTGTATTTTCTCCGCTGCCTCCTATTAATAAGTTAAAATATAAGGATAACTTTACTCTAACGTTTTCTCATTTTTTTCAAAACAAGCTTGGCCACAGAACAAAATAATACTTATGCAGCACACCTACCTTATACCCAAAATAAGACTAGCTTCTCGCCTACTCATTTTCTGTTCAAATCCTCCTTTATAGTAAGATGAAAGGCTCTGTACAGGAAAGAAAGAGCATGAAATAATTAGTTTCATGTATGAGGTGGCATGACCTCAATCCCATCATAGCTGCAGTAAGAGTAATGCATTTTACCAGAAGTCAACTTGAAACTGTGGAGGGAGGAGAACTAAACAATGAGCCTTTACAAGAAACTATGACCACAATGAACGTAAAAAACATTAACAATTTTTTCACTTTCAAATACATTAATTTTTCTACACTAAGATATAACAGAATTAAAATGAATCAGTAGAAGCAAAAGGCTTGAACTTTTCCTAAGCTCTGCAGTAATTTTCTCTTTGGATAACCTTGCTAAGTCACTAATGTTGATAGGACACACATCTTTTTTACCTCCTGGACTGGCTGATAAAGAAGGAAGAAAAGGAACTGACAAAGTGGGGAGGACATCAGGAGAGCAGACAGGCAGGCCAAGGGAGACCAGCAAAGGACTACAAGGTCACTGAAAGGTGGCTGGAAAGGCATGAGCAAGAAAGAGAGTAGAATCAGAGAGGCAGCCGGGCTAGAATGGTGGAGCAAGGCTGTAAGCAACAGAAATAATTTAGGAGTTTATTCTCAGAGAACTGGAGTAATGTCATCTGACTATATTTTGAAAGGATTACTCTAAATGCTATGTGGAGAATAGGAAGAAAGGTGCAAGAGGGAAGCAGGAGACCAGCCAAGAGGACACAACAATAATCTAGTCAAGAGATGATAGTGGTATGCGCCAACATGGTAAGAGCGGAGCTAGTTTAAAAGTGATCTGATTCTAGATGTATACTGAAAGCAACCCTAACGTTTTCTTGGTAGATTAAATAAAGGATATGAGAAAGAGAGGGATTGACGATGATGTACTAAACACACAATACACTGTGCAGCTTCCCCTTTGGAAGTGAAGGACTTAACACTTTGGGTGCTGGGGCTATCGCTGGCAGACAGCAGTCAGCTGTCAGACTCTTTAGGAATTGCCTTGGCTGAAGAAAGTCAAGTTCAGGTCCCTTTCCCAGAGCAGTCTCTATTTAATGACTGGTTGATATGGGGGTATAAACATTGTAGTTCTCTAGAGCTCAGTCCTTCGACTTCATATCTATAGTTCACTGACCAGGTGATCTCATTTAGTCTCATGGCTCCTTGCCCCAACCTGGGACAACCACAATGAGCCAGCCGAGCTTCAGAGCTTGGCATTGGGTTGACTGAGGCCTTTGTTATGACCGTACTGCAGCCTAAATTGTCCCTCTGCCTTTCTCCCTTGTCTTCCTTTCTGGAGCTGCGGATCCTAAGAGCACTTCCTAATGAACTACTGTTGCAGGAGTTCTATTCCTTTAGTGCCCGCAGTTCTTGGTCACGCTGCTTCAAAGAATGAAGAGGTAGACCAGACGAAGAGCGGTGGGCAGCAAGGGGAACTTGATTGAGTGGTAGTACAAAGCTCCCAGAGAGGGAGGGGACCCAAGAGGGTTGCCGTTTTGACATTTAAATCCAGGGGTTCTTATGAGCTCTTCTGCAGAACTATCTGAAGCTTCCTGAGTGTGGGCCCCCTCTGGAATGGCTGCTAAGGCATGACACTGGATGAGATCACCTACGGAGTGAGAGAAGAGAAAAAAGTCCAAAGACTGAGCCCTAGAGATTGCAAGTTTGAGGGGCAGAGAAATGGAGATAAGTCAGTAAGCAGACTGAGGAGGCCTAGCAGTGCAGACACCAAAAGTAAGGGAGGGAAAAACAGTTTCAAACACTTCTGATAGGTTACATCAGAACTGAGCTGAGACCTGGCTGTTGCATTTATCAAAGAGGTCAAACTCTTTGACAAGAGCTGCAGGGAGTGGGAGTGAGAGTCTGATTAGGGTAGATTTAAGAGAGAATAGGACGGAAGGAATGGGAGACAGTAGTACAGACAATGCTTTAAGAGTTCTTAACAAAGAAACAGGATGCGTGAACTCAACTTTTAGAAGGAAAAAAATGCATCAGTGATTGTATTGCAAACATGTTTTTAAAACATGAACCCCTATTTTTGTAAGGAAAAATAAGTAAGTATATGTTTACATAAAACAACATCAGAAAGTATATACACTAAAATGTTATTTTTGGTTGGTGACATCATGAATAAATTTTTTTCTTATGTTTATTTTTACTTTCTCAATTTTCAAAAATGAACACAGGCTACCTGTATAATTTTTTTAAAAGGAGAACTAAATAAAAGACCAAGGAAATTAGTAGAACTTAAAAAATGAGCCAGATCTGGTCATTTATATAAGCTGTTGTCTTCGAACAGCTTGTGATAAATTTCTACTTGGTAAGAATTCGCTGGCAATTAATTCACGTAACAAGCACTTCAGCACCTAGTAAAGCCAGGAACATTTCAAATGAGACAGGTCAAGTTTAGTTCTTCATCACAGAGATGCTAATCTATCAATGTACCAGTGCTGGGAGGAATATGACATACTATTTCAAGTTTCAAGTAATTTGTAATCTAGAAAGAAAACTAAAAACAATATCCTTCTCCAAGTTGTGACGGGAGGAAGAGAATCAAATTATTTAAGTACACATAGTAACCTGGACAAATTATACACATGCACACACATACACTTCCACACACACAGAAGGGAATATATAAAGGACTAGGGGATTTAACAGAGAAATAACAGATGGTTTTAAGTTTTCTCTCAGCAGACTAAAGTTTTTCCTAGATGCATACCTTCCTCTCCAACATTTCTGTAAGTATTTATTTAGCTTAGGGAGCTCCAAAATTTCAACATAATAAACATGATAAATTGATGTTTCAGGAAGTGTCACTCCCACTAGTCACAATGCTCATTAACCCTAATGGCAGGAATTGTACCTGAGCAGTTGTTTACTTCCAGTTTTACCCAGGTGGAAAAGGAGACCCAGAACTTAAAATCCAGCATTTGGATAAGGCTCATACCCTAAAACACAGACCTGCTGAAGAATAAGTGAGTATGTGCATATCTATAAGGGACAACTATAGAACAACTCCATCAAATAGAGTGGATGATTAGAACTTTTTTTTTTTTTTGGTTATACCTTTCTAATAGAATTTCTAAGAACAAAATCAGTATGATTCCACTACTTTTATGTTGCTGTCTATTTGAAATATACCCTGAACCTTACAAATTATTATTTTGCGTTATTCTATTCATTGAGTATATATATAAACATACCTCAAAATCATTTTCCATCTAAAATTAGCATTAAATACTATAGTGCTATATACTATCAAAGGAAATATGAAATGAATCAAGTTAAACAAAATCTTCATTAGAAAATTTACTCAGCCAAGAGCTAGATATACAAAAACTCTCCAGACAACCAAAGAACTATATCATTCCATAATCTTAAGAGAAGAAACACATTTACCATAAACTATAAATTCCTATTATTTACAATAATCTATTTCACTTAGAGAGCCACAGAGGGATGATTTTAATTTGTGCTGTTTCCATGAATTTCACTTAACCATAAGACAAAGGAAGTCCAATTTTTTAAAAATTATATTCAAATGAAAGGATATTTTCACAAATAGTAAAGTAAAAAGCCTTAAAAGAAGATGAATGACTTAGGTTTTTTTTCCCCCAGGGAAAAAAAAATAGGGGTAGTTAAACATTACCTGAGGTAATAACATACTAACATATTAAAAATCAAGCAAAAAAGTACTGGTTCAAAACAGAAGATTGCATAAAAAAACTCTCTTGCTTTCTAAAGTGCCTCTGAAATGAGAAGAGAGATTTTTTTTTTAAGAGAGATGTTTTTAAAAGGAAAGTCCATTATAGCCCTAGAAAACAAGAGATGATACAAGTAGCAAACCAAAAACTTTGAAGATAAATACTGAAAGGCTGAAAACAGGTAAGACTTGCACATATGGAAAAATCACTACAGCCTTAAACACCAGAGGAAAGAAGAAAACCCTTTTCAGGAAATTAAAAAGAAAACCATACCCTTAGAATCAACCATACAATAACATCAGGACAATTAATTAAACTACAACAGCAGAAATGACAATTTCTAACCTCAGTAATACAGAGCTTAAGGGGCCTACCGCCTGTCATTTTGCCCTTAGGCTAAGAAAGACAACTGCATGTCCTGGGATGTATCTCATTGTGTGGGTAGGTCCCAAGAGAAGCAAAGTAGAGTACTAGCAGATCACATATCAGAACCCACAAGGCCAGAGAGGGACACAGTTATGCCAATGAATAAGATATACATAGTTCTCAATGTCTCCTCAACCTCTCTCTGGAGGTCCCAAACCTGCCTTTTGGCTCCTTGTTTGGGAAGACATGCTATTGACATATCCCATCTACCTATTCACAGCCCACTATCAACCTTCTCATTCAATAAAATTATTGAAGTGAGTCTACCAAACTGCTGAGGAAGGTCACTTATATTAATCAACTTAGTTCTCACAAACATAAACCAAAAACCAAGGATTACCAGACATTTGAACAAATCCAGTATCATGGGGGAAAAACAGAACAAAGATGAACAAATAACAACTGGCTTTTGGAGAAAAGAGATAAATCAGGAACCAGAAGAGGATTTGTCAAAATTTGAATTAGTATCTTATATCCATAAAAGTGTAAGTTGCTATGAAAAAGAAACAAGAAAATTTTCAGATATTAAAATATTACTGATACAAAAAATTTAGCAGATGGACTAAATAAAAAAATGGTCACTGCTAAAAACCAATTTGATGATCTGGAAAATAAGCTGTGGAAATACTGTGGAATATAAAACAAAAAGATAAGAAGATGGAAAATAGAAAGAAAATGTTCAGAGACATAAAGGACATACTTAGAGGTCCAATGTGTCTCTAATAAGAGTTCCAGGAACAGAGAAGAGAGACAATGGAAGGAAAAAAATAAAAAACAGTCTAAGAGAATCTTCTAAAATAAAAGACAGGCAATTTTCACTTAAGTCTCACTAAGAAGACCTGTGAAATTTCAGAACATCAATAATAAAGAGAACCCCCCAAAACTTCCAGAGTTAAAAAAACAACCAAAAATCACCAAAAAAAACCCAAAAGCATAAAACACAAACAACAAAAGAGAACCAAAACAGGCAGCTTACAAAGGAGTAAGAATAAGAACATCAGAAATTCTGGCTGAGAGCCTTGAGTGTACCAGAAAATGTGGCTAAGAATATGTAGGAAAGCATGTACGTGGGCACTGAGGTTCATTCAATCTGAGCAGGTTTTTTTTTTTGTTTTTTTTTTTTTTAAGTAATCTCTACCCCCAATGTGGGGCTCAAACTCAAGACCCAAGATCAAGAGTTGCAGCAGGCTCCACTGACTAAGCCAGCCAGGAGCCCCCTGAGCAGAGATTTCTATACTCCTCTCATACTGGCTCCATCAGATTCCAAAGAGCCAGCAGCTACCTGATGATTAATGGTGAGAGCAAAAGAAACAAGTCGTTAGCAGAGAAGAACTTAAGAGATTTACCATCCATGCATCCCATATGAAAAAAATTACTCCAGGAAGTATTCCAGAAAAATGGAGGGAAAAAGGTATGAAAAAACAAAGATGAGATTTAAGAACAAGATGATGTTAAAGCACAGAGAAAGCACAAACTTCACAGAAACTTGAACCTTGCAGGCTTTCTTTTGAGTCATAGAGATTTAGTGGCCCATGATTACAATTCGCATTTTTTAGCAACTCTATTTGGTTTCATAATGAATCATACTTACAACATCAAAACACTGTAAACGCTGTGTTTCGTGAAGTTTGACAATTTGAAATCATTAGTGCCAGGAGAAAGTATGTATATATTTATTTCTCAGTTTCCCTAGAATTATTAATATTTTAAGAACTGTTTAAGACGCTCTTATCTTCACAGAGGTATAATTATGATGACAGTGATGATGATAAAGATGTTCTATGAAATATTTTCACTGCAAATTGCAGGAATAGTACTTTGTTGGGGCAGGGAGGTGGGGTAGGGCCAGATTTATAGAACAGTGTTCCTTACCTCAGGCCCACAAAGGTGAAGGATAAGAGGGATACATCATTTCTCTCTCCTTAAGAAATGCAGGTACCAAGTTCAGTATACCCATGACAATCTCTTAAATTATTCCACCTTATCCATGAGCCTCCACAGAGCAGGGAAAATTTCCTCATTTTCTTGCTCTCTCTTCCTGTTTGTTTAATGATGTAGTTCTACAAAACTTGTGAATCTTTTATTTACAATATAAATATATCTATTGAAGATCACCTTAACAGAAGAGAAATAATTTCTGAAATTTTCTCCATTCATTATTTATAAAAACATATGGAAAAAAATAAATAACAATCCATTAAAGAACTTGCTACTATTTCCATTCCTGGATTTCAAGCCACCATTATCTATTACCTGCACTATCTCAATACCCTCTTAACTGGACTGATAGCTTTTACTCTGGCTCATTCTTGTCTACACTCCACCGCAGGCAAAGTGATAATCTAAAATGCAAATCACATTGCCTCCATGGTTAAAACCTTCTAAAAGCTTTCCTTCCATTACACTGTAAGCAAAATTTGCAGTTTTTATCTATAATCTATGGGGCTTTAAATGATCTAGGCCCTACTCTACCACGATTATCTTTGCATACTCCTCTGGAGTTATCTTACGGCAAAGCTCATTTCCACCTCAGGATCTCTGCAGGGTTCTCACTGCTTGGAAAGAGATTCACCTGGCCAAGTCCCTCATCTTCTCACAAAGGTCTTCCCTGATCCATCTAACATAGATTCCTCACTGCTGTTACTCTTTAACCTCTTACCCTGCTTTCTTAAAAGCAGTCAACACTTCTACATATCATGTATTTTACTTATTTACTTGTTATTGCCTGTGTCCACTAAAATGTATGCTCCTAAGGGTAATGTCTTTGTATGGTCCCTGACCATAGCCCACTCCCCACAATAACGTCTGGCATGTAGTAGGAGTTTAATGAATATTTACTGAATGAATGCTAAATACCTATTAATACTGCAGCCAAATAAAATATAAATAGGAAAACAGAAGGAACCCCCCCCCAAAAAAACATGTTCCCTCTCATCACAGACATGCATTTCTAGGTCTGCAAAATCACTTGCACTTCTTCTGAACCTGAGTTTAATTACTTGTCAGTATGTCATCCCTTGAAAGTGTGGTCATTGTTCATGACTACCTAAGCCTCACAAGCCTGTAATGACTTTGCTAAAACAAGTCATTCATTCTCAGATTGCTGCAAGCCAAGCTGATCTATCCCAAGTTGATCCATTCTACTGCCCAGAAGTCAATGTTTATGCTGTAACGCTTCAGTGAGTTTTCTTTGCATTACGTCCAGTGGTTACAAACCAGTTCACTACACTGTAGCTTTTCAGATACCTACTATCACTCATTCTTCGCTTATATTCAGCTCAGAGAGTAACTATAATGCCTGTAAATGAATGTAGAAATCATACAGATTTCAGAATTGGAATCTTCTAATTTTGTGTTTTAGATGACCAGGTGGTGGTACAAGGGGAACCCATTTCAAATTTTAGGATGAAATAAACTCCTGAGTAATAAACTCCCATCAGGGCAGGGACCATATCTGTTTTGTTCATTAACTATACCCAGCTTCTACCACAGGGATTAGCATAGAAAATCACTGCAAGAATAAATTAGTATTAATTAAACAAAAACAATAAATTACCTCAAAGTTGGTGTGATACTACTAAAAGGAATATAGTAATTAGATGTCAAAACAGGAATGAGGTTAGAAATAAAAATAATGTGACCAAGAAACTAAAAAAAATCAATAAATTAAACAAACTGTCCAAGGATATAATGAAGAAAACTACGATGTTGGAAAATCCAAGACATTTTCTGAATCACTATCAAATATGGCATATAAACAAAAATCAAAATGAGCCTTCTAACTAAAGCCATCTTAAACTCACAGGAGTGGAAATCTTCTTTGCTGTTTCTGTGATTACTTGTTCTAGAGGCTTCCAGATCTGAAACACGTAGCGACCTAAATAATAACAGGAATAAAAGCAAATATATTTTCTGTAATCAAACACAATACCCACAAGGTACTAACCACAATATTTACTGATAGCTTCTTCTATATATGTTATTTCAACAATCATTTCAAAATCTACCAGAAAGTCCTATTTTTTCTTTTATTAAATTTTATTTTATTTTTTCAGTGTTCCAAGATTTAATTGTTTATTCACCACACACAGTGCTCCAAACAATACATGTCCTCCTTAATACCCACCACCAGGCTCACCCATCCCCCCACCCTCCTCCCTCCAAAACCTCAGTTTGTTTCTCAGAGTCCACAGTCTCTCATGGTTCATCTCCCCCTCTGATTTACCCCAATTCACTTTCCCTTTCCTTCTCCTAATGTCCTCCATGTTATTCCTTATGCCCCACAAGTAAGTGAAACCATACGATAATTTACTTTCTCTGGTTGGAAAGTCCTATTATTTTCAAATTCTAATTTATTAAATAGAGGAAGCATTTCATTTTAACATAATTAAAACAGTTCCTAAATTTATCAAGTTCTAATTCATGATTATAAGATTAGAAAATGTCAATGTTGATGTATCTTACACATATACAATATACTAGGTAACAAAAAAATAATATCCTAGTACTCTTTCCGCCACAAACTATAGATAAAGTCCTCTCACGTATGTATATTCACACATCTGGTTATTTGTACTGGTTTTCTCAGTGATAATCACTTCGAAATATATAGAAAACAAAAATTACTTATGATTTGTACAACACAGGAATAATTTTAATGGCGTTACCTCTAAAGTAAAAAAGCAGTTATGAAAAAAATATTCACCAAAGATGTTTTCTGTCAATTTCTCACTGAGGATGACTATTCTCCTAAGAACATATTTTATTTTGGTGCTTTCTTTTCTTAGGTATCCTATTAATTAAAAATCCTCTGAGTCTTCAATAGCAAAACAGGTTCCAAACTGTTTCAAGGGTATAAAACAAAAATAAAATATTACCTGGCCAATTTACCTTTTGTACCCTAATCAGCATATAGATCTACTAATAGTATTGTCTTTCTTCCCAAAAGTCTTGCTAGAAAACCCATTATGACACTCTGGATTTATTCATTTCCAGCCATAACCTTCTTTGCAAATCAAGATTTCCACTGGGAGAGTTCAATTATATACATCTTTTAGAAAAAGTTACCGTCTAACCATACTGTTATTCCTGTGCAAACAACATTTAAAAATGAAAAACAGGATGCTAGAAATGGAAAATGGGAAGTAGTCAACCCAAGCAGAAGATAAAATAATTCTTGAGATCAAGGAGAACATTAAATAAATTAAACAAGTGAAATTAAATAACCAAAATAAGTGAAAGCCTAACTCCTTCAAATCTCTTATCCTAGAGATATTTTTTAAAATTTTTTATTTTTTTATAAACATATAATGTATTTTTATCCCCAGGGGTACAGGTCTGTGAATTGCCAGGTTTACACACTTCATAAGCACTCACTATAGCACATATCCTCCCCAATGTCCATAATCCCACCACCCTCATCCAACTCCCCTCCCCCCAGCAACCGTAAATTTGTTTTGTGCGATTAAGAGTCTCTTATGGTTTGTCTCCCTCCCGATCCCATCTTGAACTTCCATCTGATTCTATAATAGTACAAAGCATACCTTTTAAATTACTTTGGAATTCCTTTAAAAGCACATACAATCAGGCAGTCTCAATGAAAACAGCAAGTAAGGCCTTCAACAAGTGACATCTGGAGGTTTACTTGAATCATAAACCAGAAGATCTAGTTCCAAAGTGTACTTTCTCCTAAATTCTATTATTCAGTTATATTTGGCTCTGGAAGAGATCTGCCTGCTACTTAATATTCAAGTTAGTAATAAGAACTTGGCAACAATGTGGTATATATACAATACACATGACAGTTCTTCTCATTTTAGAAAGAAGAACCTGGCAGAAGTACAGCATCTTTCTTTAATTTAAAAAAAAAATCTTATATTTGAATTTTAAAATAACTATGTCAATAATAGTTAATACTGTAACAGTTAGCACTACAATTGTTTCATGTTTATGGGCAAGTTTGTCAGAATTCCTTTCTGGACATTAGAGTCTCCTCATGAAACGTCAGTATAGTTATAATGCCAAGACACAAGACCCTGACGGCATAAAGACCAAGAGAATCTGAACCACTGATCTTCTTGATTTCAAAGCATTTACTGTTAAGGTGCTTTAAAAGAGAGTTTTGTGAAATTAAGTACCATATAAAACAAAACAACAATTTTTTATGTCTCATTTTTTTACTGGATATATACCACAATGGTATGTAGCTTCACTTAAGAAGAAGATCCAAGAAGCAAAATCAAATCCATGGAACTTGAGATACAAATGCTAAAACAAAAAAAGTAAAACTTTATCAACAAGGAGATGTTCTCAGATAACATATGATTAGGAAATAGCTATGCAATTTAAAACTATAAGTTAACGCCTGGAAGAGAAAGCAATTTTTGCTTTAAATTTTAATACCTATTCTTTGGTGATTTGGGTAGTAAAAGAAATTCTCTTGAGTTTATGAAAGAGATTATAGCAATGTGTTAAAAATGAAGTTACTAATACATTACAGGGAACTATTCTCATTAGAACAAGCAACAGCTCAGGAAATGTGTAATCTAATCCTGCACGGAAAAAAAATCAACATGGGAGATTAAAGGAGCCCTATATCACTTACACTGCTTCATATTAAAGAATTTCTTTAAAGTATACTATTGCTCAAACTAAAAAAAAAAAAAAAATGCCAGGAAGGTCAACTATTATTAGGGCTAGTTTTCCTAACTTCTACTCTGTTAATTTTCTTCACTACATGGTTTACCTAGTTTTTGCTACATTGACAAATGTTCAGTGACTATACATGGAGGAAAAATGAGAATGTAGGTCTTAAAACCCAAACCTCAGAATACAGAGGTTCTCCTCATGAATCACTATAGAAACTATTTGAAAATATTTCTCCTGCAACATTTATTGATAAGTTTTCTTTATTTATCTTACCTGCAAATGCAAGAGCCGCAACACCCAGTCCTACAGCGATCAAACTTCTTGCCTATGAAGAAAAAAATGATTATATCACTTACGGTCTTACACACTAGCTTTTTTAAAGTAAACCATTTTAAATAATGAAAATAATTATTTTAAATAATGAAAATAATTATGTTAAATACATTTCCCTCAAGCTCTGCTGTGAAGATGAGAATTTTTTTCATCTGCAGTGTCTATGGGATTCTACCTATTGCATACTATATCAGCTAATTTTCTGTAAACTAAAATCATTCTAGATATCATTTAATTTCCATATATTTGAATTCATTCTACCCAAGAGTTTGTATGTCACCTATTGGTAAAATATTTTCTGTAGATTACTCGTTTTTAAGATTTTATTTATTTATGTATTTATGTATTCATTTATTTTGGGGGGTGGGGAAACAGAGGGAGAAGGACAAGCAGACTCCATACTGAGCACAGAGCCCAACATGGGACCCGATCCCACAACCTCAAGATCCTTACCTGAGCCAAAACCAAGGGTTGGATGCTCAGTTGACTGAGCCACCCAGGCACTCCCGTAAATTATTCTTTTTTTTTTTTTTTCCGTAAATTATTCTTAATAGTCGGTTGAATATATTTATCTTCTACAAAGATAAAAAGCACATATTTCCGGGGCACCTGGGTGGCTCAGTGGGTTAAAGCCTCTGCCTTCGGCTCAGGTCATGATCCCGGGGTCCTGGGATCGAGCCCCGCATCGGGCTCTCTGCTCAGCGGGGAGCCTGCTTCCTCCTCTCTCTCTGCCTGCTTCTCTGCCTACTTGTGATCTTTGTCTGTCAAATAAATAAATAAAATCTTAAAAAAAAAAAAGCACATATTTCCTTAATATTTACAATGCTCAATGGCATTTGCTATATTTAAAATTTTGACAAAACTTTAGATCCATGTTTAGTAAATAAGTCAACCTGACAATAGTTAGTAAAAATTATGAATAACTTTGGGGTGCCTGGGTGGCTCAGTGGGTTAAAGCCTCTGCCTTCGGCTCAGGTCATGATCCCAAGGTCCTGGGATCGAGCCCCACATCGGGCTCTCTGCTCAGCAGGGAGCCTGCTTCCTCCTCTCTCTGCCTGCCTCTCTGCCTACTTGTGATCTCTGTCTGTCAAATAAATAAATAATTTTAAAAACCTTTTAAAAAATTATGAATAACTTAAAAGTTAATTTCTACCTTTCTAGACCAATGTAAAAATGTTTAAATGAGTCAAGAATTCAGAATATAAAATTATGAGCTCATTCTGATAAAAATCTACTTTAAATTGGTTATATACTTCATATTATTTTAGGCTTTTCTCCTTTACCATCTCAGAAAAATATTTCAGTCACAACAGAAAAGGTTTATGTAGCAGAGATCAATGTTTCCCCCCAACATCCATTCTCCCTTTGTTCTCTAGGATCAGGAGTTCCTATTTTTAGCTGGACATATTTCTAAGCCTCTTTTAGACTATGCTATGTTAACTAAGTGTTGGCTTTTAAGATAATAAGCAGGGTGATGGTATGTGCAACTTCTGAGAAGCCCTTCAGGGACAGGGGAAATGTCCTTCTCGAAAACTTTTCCATTCCTGCTTGCTGAAAATGTAGACATTCTTCCTGGAGCAGATCTTGGATAAAGAAGGAAAAACAATGGATGAAAGGAGGCTGTATCCTAGATTATCACGGAGCTGCCACAGCACCCCTGGACTGCCTTTATTTATGTGAGATGATAATAGAATTCTAGCTTCACAAGCCACTATTATTTCCAGGCACTTGCAACCAAATCAAATTTTGATGATATAGAATTAAGTAGAGACACCACAGAAATGTTTCTGTCTGATTAGTGGTGAGAGAGGTAAATCCACAAGATCCAGGAAAGACATTCAAAAACAAATCCAGAATAGTCTCAGCAGGGAACAGAATGGATTCATTTCACATTGGTGCATAAGTAGTAAGATGGAGGCTGAGACCAGAGGGATGATAAAACCAAAAAGCCCTGCAAACATCTACAAGTCTACAAGTTCCGTGAGGGAATACAAGTCTTGGGAAATCGAAGCCCCAAATCTTCAGGGGAAGATTTTATCATGAGAAACACCAGGAAACGAAGAGCAGCTGTATGAGGTGCTTTAACTTTAATATCCAGTAGCTCTCTCTTAGAAATCTAGAGCTCTTCATAGACAAGATGAAGTTTAACTATAGTTCTCAGTTCTAGTTCTAAGATACACCTTTCACCAGGCAGTACACTGGCACACTTTAGGAAAGGAAGATTTTTTTTCCCTGGCAGAGGAATGGAAGCCTAGAGCTAGCTATAGAGAGAGGCAAAATAGTTCCCGAAGTTCCTTTTAGGTTGTCTAGACAGGTTGTCCTGAACAGAAGGGAAGTGAGTACTGATTTAAAAGAAGATATTCTCTTGAGGTATATTTTTGCTATTTTCTAGAGCTTCTCTGAAGCTATATAGTTTGAAATTTTCAGTCCTCCACTGGTTCACTTCAATGAACTTCAGTCCAAACAAACTACTCAACTATTTCATGTGTGAATTTATTTTCCTTCCTTAAACCTTGTTTATTCTTTCACCTGACTAGAAATATTTTATCTTTGCCTACCCAGATAGGACTTGTTCTTAACACTTCAGCCTAAATATGCCACAGAATGGGAGAAGTCATTTGTAACACATTACAATGAGCACATATCCAAAGACATATATAGAATTCCCCCACATCAATAATAAGTAGAGGTACAATCCAATAGAAAAATGGGCAAAACATCAGGAGCTTCATAGAAAAAAATCTAAATGGTTAAAACATATCAAAAGTACTCAACTGAAAGAGTAACTAGGGGATACTAACAACAACAACAAAATGGCGCTGAGATATTAATACCAGCATATAAAGATCTCTAGCCTTTGTGGAACTGAGGCTAGATCCTAAGCACTAAGGATCCCTACTGAGGGATCCTAAGCACCAAGCAACAGTATCTATACTTCCGAGGATTATTGTAAGGATAAAATATAATAATGTATATAAAGGACTTAATATAGTGGGTTGGCACATAGTAAATAGTCAGTAAATGGGAACTGCTTTTAATATTATCAATAAAAATAACTAGCTATTACTGAATATAAGTGGTATGACAGAAGTATGAATGGTGTTATGTAAACACTGAAATCTGTCTAGAGGAAGATTCATGGAAGTAATATTTGAGGTAGGCCCTCGAAAATGAATTGATCTTTTCTAGATTAAATAATCCCAATTTTCACATTTCAAAAAATGCATATTTAAAAAATACAAAGTCTTGAAAAGTTGAGTTAGTCTAATTTCATATTTTTATAGATTAATATTGTGTCATTTTTATGACTTCAACTACTCAAAACACAAATAGCTGTCTCTACAATTCCAAAGAGATTTTAATTTAAAGGTATTTATATCAGAAACATTAAAGCACTAGGCATTTGGTCATTTTCCACTTTTTTTTTTAATTTTTTTTTTCATTTTTTACTTTAATACATAAACCTAAACTGTGTTTAGACTTTCTTTGTACTTATTTCTGAAGACCACATTATCCAAGTCCTCACTTGCCCTCTAGTTTCTGGGTGGGTTTTGCCAAGGAGAGGAAGTGTCAAAAAGAACACCAAGCATAGGTTACCAATAGCAGGCAGGACTCCAGACACTTCTGCCTACTGCATCTTGGTATCAAAGTTGCCAAGGAAAACACTGTAAAGTCAAGCACTGGATAATGCTTTACTTACTTAAAGAAGATAAAGATCAGTTCTAGTTTTATGCATTAGTCCCTTATGGCTAGTGGGTGCCCCCAGCAGTTAGCTGACTAAAGGAAATGGGCCTACAAGCACCCACCTCTCTGGTGGTATGATGGAAGGACCTTCCCCCTCCCTACCCCACACTGTCTCTGGAGTCTGAAACACTGAAATATCTGAGGGCATATGTGAAAGCCATTGACTATGCTTAAGCAGAGCAAAGAAACACTCAATAAGCCCGAAACCAGAAAAGATAATGCCACAGAGGTGGGAAATCCAGCACAGGCTATATGAGGTCCTCATCTCTTGGTAGGGAAGAATTCTGAGCCCAAGGCCCACTTTTATGTGGCCAACTGGGACTGAATATTGTGCATAAGAGACAGTCCTTCCCAACAGGAAGCATTAGCAGAAAAGCAAAAGGTAGAAGGAGATAGAAGTAATGGTACAATTTACTCCCAGCTATGCTTCCTCTTCGGCCACAGCTCCTGTTAAAGGGCTCCTCTTCCAAGCCTACAACTCTCATTGGGTTCTGGAACATAATTCTCATCCTCTTGCCCCTTTCCCTGGGTGGATTAAGTTTCTAACCTTTGCCAGTCTCTAGGGGATTCATCATTCATTTCTGGTTACCTTAAACCATACCTACCTCTGCTAATAATCCTTCCATTAAACTATCTTCAAAAAAACCACCCATTACCACCAGACTCTCACGAATACACACATTACATACAGCAGTCACTATACTATGAACAAGGCAAAGGCCTATATCAAATGAGTCCAATGGAGGACACTGACCATGATGGGCCTCTAGTGTTTTCATGAATCTCCCAAAGACCTTTTAGTTTTACCCTTATTACAAAATTATACTAATTAATAGTTAAATGTGTTGTTTCCTTCAGCTTTTCTAGATATCAAGCGTCCTTTAAAAATCTAATGAAATCTATGGATCACCCCAGAAAACCACAAATACATACACACAGCAAAATTTTTATATAGTTTGAAGGGATCCAAGGGTTTCTCTGAAGATTTTCAGTTTACAAGTCCCAGTATGAGACTCTCTGTAAAAAATATATATAAATAAAGAAGCTCACTAAAGTAAAAAAGAGTATATCAGATATATTTGAGCTCCTAGAGCACATCAGAAACCTGCCATGTAATTTCATTTTTCATTCATTTAACAAGAAAAATATTAATAATACAACAAAATAGTAATACAAGAAAAATAATGTTGATGCCAGAATTAACCTCTATTTCTAAAGATTAACGTCACACAAAGATAAACATGAAAG